TGCCGGGACGGTTGAGGGATAGAAAAAGCACTAATTCAGCAAAATTTTGCGGACAGAAACGATTAAAAAGAGAACGAACCGAAGGGGTATCCAATTGAAAAATACCCGTTAAAAGAAAGTTTTCCAACAATTTCCAAGTTTTCTGGTCAGTTAGGTTCACTTCCTGGTAATCAGGTAAATTAACTTTTAGAATTTCCCTTGCTTCACGAATAAAACCAAGCGTTTCCCGCAAACTCAAAAAGTCATATTTTTTTAGTCCTAATTCGGCTAACTTATCCTCCTCGAAGAGCGTCAATAAATAATCTTTTTCTGACTTCAAGGGCACCGAACCAGTTAACGAACTTTCACTAATGATAACTCCGGCCGGATGGATACCAGTATCGTAATATAAATTTTGGATTTTATCGGTCAACTGGAATAAATTAGGATAACTAGTCTGCCAACGTTGCAATTTTAAATCTTTAAAATTAGGATTTTCGCCAGTTAGGGAAGTAATTTCTTTTAGCCTTATTTCTCCTAATTTGTATAATTTGGCGGTCTCTCTAAGGGCAACTTTTCAACCAATTTTTTTTTTGGTAATGATGCGAGACACCTGTCTTTTGGGGTATTTTTTTTGCAAGTAATTGAATACCTCTTCTTGATTTTCCACATCTAAATCAATGTCTGGTAAATTCTTCCTCTTTTCATTGAGAAATCTTTCAAAAAATAACTTATGCTCCAACGGGTCAACATTAGTTATTCCCAGTAAGTAAGTTATCAAAGAAGAAACCGCACTCCCCCGTCCCGGTCCCACAATAATGCTCTCTTTTTTTAGATGATTATTTACATCGCTAAACACTAAAAAATAATCGGCATAGTTAAGTTTTTCGATAACCTTTAATTCCTTTTCCAAAATTTTTTGATAATCCTCTACATTTTCTTTTTTTAAGGAGATTAGTTTTTGCCAGCATTTACTTTTTAGGAGTAAGAGCGGGTTTTCTTTCTTGGTTCGGCTCGCTTTTTCACCATGAAAGGTAGGATTGAGTTTAATTTTGGCAAGAAAAGTTTGCCATTGAATAAGTAATAATTGATAAAAAGTTTTGTCATCGGTGCAGTGCGAAAAGTAATCCTCAGTATTCAAGTAGGAGAAGAATTCGCCCTGAGCATCAGCCGGAAAAAAATAACGGCCAAAACTAGTTTTTTTTCATAGACCTAACAATTTAGTTTCTTCGGAAGTTAAGCATTTTACCGAAAAAAAGGGAAGAAGTAGGGGAATAATGTTTTGTGGAATAGTTTGGGTAGGAGAAAGGAGAAAAAAATTAAATCCAATAAAAAGATTGCCGTAGTTGACTTCCTTTTTGGGAGAACGAGTTAAAATTCACTGGGCCGCAAAGTATTTTATTTCTTCTAATTTTTGGGCTTCAAAGATAATCAGACAATTTTTACTCAGGCCAGAAAGAATATAACCAAAAGAAAAAATTCGGTCATTAGGAGCATCCGGAGAAAAGAGTTTTTGAAGAACTTCCTTGTATCCCTTACTGTTTTGGGGATAAATGGTGGCCGAATATTTTTTGGCTTGGGGATTTTCTTGTAGAAAAATCTTTACTCCTCAAATCGGTTTAATTTTTTTGGCTTTGCAGGAATTAAAAAATTCCATAATCTCATAAGGATAATAATCAGCAATCGCCAAATAATTTAATTTGTTATTAATGGCTCAATCAATTAATTGGGGAATTGTCAAAAAAGAGAAGGAGAGGTTGGAATTGGTTTGAGTATTGAGATGAGGGAGAAAAAAAGTTTCCATACTTAAATTATTTTTTGGAAATTGAACTTTTAGTGAAAAATTGGATGCTTAGTCTTACTTGTCGTCAAATTTTGGCTGCTTGCTTGGTTTTTGGAAAGGGCCATAATTTCTATTATGTGTTCATTCAAACAAGCAATTTGACGAGAACATTTTTCTAACTTTTCACTATAAACGTGAAAAAAAGCTGAGGCGCCCGAAGCACAAATAATATTAATCACGACCAAAATAACGTAGATTCCAAGAAATATTGGTGAAGTTTTAAGTTCGCTCGGAAAAATAAAAGGAAAGGGGGTAAGAAGCAAAAAGAATAAAAAGGACAACAAAAGATTTCGCCTATACTTATGAAGAAAAGTATGATAAGAGTTTAATTTTTCCTTCAAATGTTTCTTTTCAGTAAGGAGAACAGTTAAAGGTTTATTTTTTCATGAACTTACCATAATTATATGTATTTATTTTTTTAATATATACTTGCTACTCTCTTCTCCCGATGTTGCCCTGAGAGAAATAACTTTTCCTACTTCCGGCAACTCTTTGTTATTGGTTGCCGCAACAGTTAATTGTGTCCAAAACCTCCGAGCGTGTAGGCGGTCGTCATTGTTCCCCCAATGGCGGACATATAACGGTAGTAATAAACAAGCCGGCACCAATTCCTAAACCCGTTAGCATCTTAGCAAGTCCGTCTCCGTCAAACATTTTTTCTAAGAGTATTGAAAAAGAAAAAGTTTAGCAATAAAAGCAAAGACTTCAAAAAAGCCAATAGTCAAAACAAATCAAAAACTCATAACTTACCTTTTTCAAAAAATCGTAAATATTCTTTAAAAAAAAAAAAATCTTTTTTTATAGATAGAAAATGTGTAGGCTTTTCTAAAAAGTAAATCAAAGAATTTTAGTAATAATATGGCTCATCCTCCAACAAAAGGGTCTAAAGTGTAAAATATATTTATGAACAAAACTCATGAATATAATACTAATTTTAAAGAAGAATATAAAAAGGTTCTTAAATTCTTAAAAAAAGGTTGTGAATGCGGTTGCTCCAGTAAAGTCCCACAAGAAGAATTCGCTCAACTCCGCTCTGATTTCCAATCTCTTCCTAAGGCTGAGCAAGATGCGTTAGTAATGGGACAACTTTTTATCATGCGAGACCGAGAAAAGATATCTACTAGTCCTCGTTTGAAAAAGAAAGAACGCACAAATCAAAGATTTTCATACCTTTTTGACTATAAAATTCCTATCTGCCAAGAAACTTATCTAAACATGTTAGGGATAAGTGAGAAATATTTAAAGACCATAAAGAAACACTTAGCCAACCAAATAATAAGTTCAAGAATTCATGGTAACCTTAACAAAACACCTCAATGAGCCACTAAAATGACTATTGACCAAAACATCAAAAAGAAAGTAAAGAAATTCTTAGAAAAATATGCCCAAGAACATGGTCAACCTGACCCTAGTCAAAAGTATGCTCGCAAAATTGCAGTTGAGGTTAGATCTAGTGGAGAAATTATTTTCTTGCCTACTGAAATGAGTTATAAATCAGTCCATCATGATTTTGTTATAAGTGTAGGAGAAGAAAGTAATTTAAAATCTCTAAAGTATGAAGCTTTTCGGAGACTATGGCACGAACTAGCACCTAATGTCAAAATTAGAAAACCAAGAACTGACTTGTGCGATACTTGTCATAAACTTAAAACTGAAATCCACTCCTGCAAGGATGAAAAAGAAAGAGAAACTTAAAAAAAAAATTTGATCGACACAAAAGAAGAGCCAAAAAGCAAAGAAAATACTACAATAAAATCATAAAATTAGTCAAAAGACAAAGAAAAATAGTTGATAAAAACTACCTCCAAAAGCAAGGTAAAGTAGGATATTGCTCGGTTGAGGCTACTGCTGGCTACGATTTTGATTGAGCCCAAAAGTTTCTATTTCCTCACTATACTCAACAACCTAGCGAAATATTTTTTGATAATCCTCGCAAAGCTGAACTATTTGGTTTTCAGAATAAAGCTACAGGAGTGCAACTTAACTACATTTTGAACGAAGGTGAAACCATTGGCAAAGGTTCTAATGGAACTCTTAGCCTAGTTTTTGATGGAATTAAAAGATTTAATAAAGGGGAAAAATACCTTAAACTTTCTTGTGATAATGCACCAGGGCAAAATAAGAATAATGCTACGATTAGATTTCTTTTTTACTTAACAATTTGTGGGTATTATGAAACTATTGGATTAGATTTTATGATTGCAGGACATACTAAGTCTAGAGTGGATGGCAATATTGGAATGGCTAAGAGAAGGTATAAAAAGTCTACTATTGAAGAATTTAAACAACTTGTCGAAGTAGTAGAAAAATCTAGTCCAACAGGTTTAAACAAGACTCAATGTTATGAAAATGGAAAGGGATTTCAATATTACAAAATTAAAGAAACTTTGGGGAACTATTTTATAAAGTTATCCAATATAGCCAAATATCATCACTTCTTTTTTTCTAGTTTTAATTTAGGAGTAGTAAAAGTTAAAGAATCTGTGGATAGTAAATGGAAAGAATTTGATTTATTAAAAACTGAGGGCAAAGAAAGAGAAAAAGTTATTGAAAAAATTAGAAATTTGGTATTTCATATTTCGGAACCTAAACCTTTGTCTCAAAAACGACTAACAGACTTTTATAAAATTCTTCCTTTGTTGCCTAAAGAATATTGAAATGAGTTTTGTCCTGAACTAAGGGTTTGCTAAACAGTGTATGAAAAGATATTAGTGAAAAAAAGATTAAAATTGGAAGGGCACGAGTATCTTTATGAAAAGATTAGATCTTTGTTGCTTGAGGAGTTTAGAGAGGAGGTTTGTTTAGGACTGAACACTAATAGATAAAGTATGTGCTAGATTAATTTTTTTTATCTTCTAACTTTCTTATAATCATGATCATTAATTTCAATTTCTCAAGCCTCATTATTTTTTCAGATGAAGAAGCATCTTCATTTTCCTCCAATTTTGATTCTGTAATAATCTTTAACCCCTTGAATTGGTTTAAGGTTAAAACCAGAAAATGCATCAAAGTCTCTTGTGTCTCGGGAATTAGCAACGACTTTTATTCTTCTTCGAGCCTCTTTTGCTGGCTCAATTCCTTCTCATTTACTGAATCACTTACCTTTCATGTATTCCTCCACCTCCTTGCTTTTAAACTTTCTTAACTTAATTGACCTAAGCATATTGTTTATCTCTCGTAAAGACTTAATTTGTCTCTAAATGTCTTCCATTTATGCATTTTTCTTTGTAAGGAATAATTTCTTCCTTTAATGATTCAAGACTTGCTTCCGACAATTCTTCTTCATAACTTCTTTGTAAATTAAGCCAAAGTTCTACAGAAGTGTCAAAGTAAATTGATAAACGCTTTGCTAAATCAAGAGTTATGTCTGTTCTCTCTTCACAAACTCATTTAACTACTTCTTTAGAAACTTTGATTTCTTGAGCCAATTCCTCAGGAGTTATATTACGAGGGATTAGTAGTTCTTCTCGCAAGATTTCCCCAGGGTGGATGGGCTTAACAGCAAAGTTTCTAGGAGTTTTGTGATGACTACTACTTAGAATAGTCTTTGTTCTTTTGTTGAGTTGTTCTGATTCGCTGATTTCTTGTCATATGCCGAGTTGCTTTAAATTTTCCTCTTTTATTCCCATTTCTCGCAGTTTAAGTTTAGCGATCTTTAATTGTTTTTCCAATTCTTCCTTTTTTTTTGTTAACTCATTAACAGTACTTTTCAACTCAGCAGTAGTTTTCTCTTTTCCTTTCATATTTTTTCCTATTTCTACCATATTTAATATACGCTTTTTATAACTTAATTTTACTAAAAAAACTCCATTGCCTCTAAATCTAGCAATTGCCTTTTTGCTTACTAATCTTTCTTTTTAGCCATAACTTCTGTTTCCTAATTTGGAAATTTCGTTTAGTCCACTTCCATCTCGTCTCTTTCTGACTCTTCAGACTCTGAACTTTTTATCTTTCTCTAAAAAACCGTGGATTACTGCGGTAATCACATGACTTTTCTAAAAAAGGAAAAACCTGATTATCGGTTACTAACCGCTTTCTATTTGCTATTTTTAAACTTTACTGCGGATTGGTCAGGTGATTTTCATGTGACTAGTCTTATCCTCTTTTGGATACCGCTTTCTCTATGAAAATGAGGTAATTTCTGCAGTAGATTAGAAGTATTTTAAGGAACATGTGAAAATTATTTACAACCGCTTTCGGTAAAAAAAGATAGGCTTATCTCTTGGTAAAATCATACGATACGGCGATAAATCTTTAAATAGAAAAGATAACAAAAAATCTTTCAGTGAAACAAAGCGGTAGCGGTTAAATTAGGTCATAAGGGGTCTTGGTGTTTCGGATTTTCGGAGATAAGCCTTAATTTGGCTGGGCTAAAAAGATTGGTATAAATGATTTTCATTGATAAACCTTTTATAGATATCGGTTAAATTGATAAAAGACTGGCACAGCAGATAGGCAAAATTGATAAGCCAAATGGGATAATTTAACCGCTTTCTTTGTCTGAAAAAGGATAGGCGTAATTTTTAGTATTGTTCTAATTTTAGCATGATGTAATTAGGTTTGGCTTGACGTTTTTTATCTTTCCCATTTTTGGTTAAGATTTTTAAGATGGAAAGTTTTAGAAGAAATGGCGTATCTCTTGGCAAAATTGCGTAATCTTTGAGGGAAATTGATAGAACCTTTTAGAAAGATTTTTAGAGATAGATAGAAAGATATCTTTCGGTTTAATTTCTTATAAATACAGGCTGCTTTTTCTTTCTTTTCTCCTTACCTTTAAGGTCTAAAAAAATAAGTTTTATTATAAGTTCTTTAAGTTTTTTCTCCGATAAATAAAGTGAGTTTGACTTATCTTTTTTTTATTGAAGTTAAACTTTCTAGTTTTTTTTATTAAGGCTTTTTTCTTCTTTGTTATTTTCTTTCCTAGGAAAATGTCTGCTTTTCCTCAACGAGATAGATTCCCTTATTTCCCCTCTTACGAGCAAACAGGCTTTATCGAAGAAGAAACAAAAATCAAGCCAGTCTCCTGCTCTGGTGGTAATAATTGCTATTTAATTGGCGGGATGGTCGGTCAAGAATTTTCAAGAATGGAGAAACCCACCAAGAGGGAATGGTCTGAGGATGCCCCTAGGTGGAGGGTGGCCATTGGCGGTTTAAATCTTGAAGGTGAATAAAGTTAAAAATTGATCTCTTTAATATTCAGCTTTCACTAATATAATACTCCAATTTTTTAGGATGGTGCAGAAATTCTTCTTGCAGTGCTTATGGAGGACTGGTTGTCCATCGATGGGGCTTCAAAAACTCTGGTCTTTTTAGTTATCACGATAACGAACATGAATGTAAATGTCCCCTCTGTGACAACTATGTTCAACCTATCACCTGTGGTTTTACTAACTGCGAATGGAAAGTAAGTGGCTCCAAAAAAAACTACCCTGGAGATGAACCCCGAAAAGTTGACACCGATTGGCAAGTCGCTCTTGATGATGGATACACCACTTTCGAAGATAAACTTACCGAACTTGCTCGCTGGGATAATCTTCAAATTAGAGTTAAATTTCTCAGTAGTGAAAGAGCCCAAAGTCGATCTCGATTATATTTTTAAATTTTTTTTTATTTCAATTTTGCTTTGCCTCTCCGAGATTTTTATCTTTTTAAATTTTCTGGATAGTTGAATTATTTTTTTTCTACTTCTAATGGCTTAAGCATTGGGACTAGTTTTTTTAGTTAGCACTCCTACTCAACTATTTTTATTTCATTTCTTTTAAATTTTTTATTTTATGCTTATGTAAGTCTTTTTTTGTCGACAAATTTTTTAAGTAAATAAAATTTAAGTTTTTTAAAAATGCGGATAGATCAGAGTTGATTTTGCTTTGGGGTTTTGCCTTAGAATAGTTTAGCTCGGAATTTCTCATCGCTAGTTCGGATTAATTAAAGTTTAGTTTGAGTTATTAATAAAATTTATAATATTATGAATATCTATCATGGAGTTGTTAGAGGTGGCAACCGTATCGTTCACTGCGATCGCTTGGATGAGTTTT